AGATAGATAGATAGATAGATAGATAGATAGATAGATAGATAGATAGACAGATAGAGAGAAAATGATATATAGATATATATTGAAATAGATAAAAAATATCACTACTTTTTTTTCTCACAATGATTTATATAAGCACCTTGCCTTTCTGAATGGCTAAAAATTTAGGATTGGTGTTTTCAATAGCATCCCTCTACCCAATTCTTCGTGTCAGATGGAGGGTGGGGGTGTTGTTCCAGGTCTCAGGAGGTTTGGAGACCAATATGGGGGCTGCAGCATGGGGAAAGAACAAGAGCATCTATTTCTGTCCTTTCTCCTACATGAATAGTGTTTAGGATCTAACCCAATAGCCCGAGCAAAATTGTGCATCATGTAGTCAGTATACAGATATTGTCATTGATATTTTCTTATAGCAATGAAAAGAGGCAGTGCTTTTCAAGATACAATTGTCATTTGCTGATCTGCATTTAAAGCAATACATTTTCTTTTGCCTTATCTTTTCTATTTTTTCTTTTATGTATACTGGGAGTATTTACACCAAGACAAATTCCTTGTGTGTCCAATCACTCTTGGCCAATAAAGAATTCTACTTCTTAATGCAGAGATACACTATGTATGTATGGGATTGAAACTCCAATCAGTTCCAGTCTAGGGGTGAGGGGTGATAAGAATTGCAGCCTACCATCTCAGTCACATTGCCTACACTACATTTTAGTATGTAGGTGCTTCCCAATTATACATCCTTGAGCTTGGCTCTCCAAATCAAACTGTTGAGATTTTTTTTCCTTCAGAGTCTGGATGGGAAGAACAGGTTTGAAGTTTGAGATTACAAAAGAGCTATTGTGAATAGTGTAGAATGGATTTAGTGATTTGAAAAAGGATATTTATGTAAGCTTTACCAATGTGCCATTTCTCCTCATGAAGAACTGTCTTACCCTTGGAGAAAAAGTTTTTTTTAAAAAATGCTTTTGATAACTTTCTTGATGTTGTCTTCATTTCAGTCTTTTTGTCTCCATATATAGGCAGCCTTTCCAGTAAATATATGACTCAGGGAAAAGCTTCACAGAAGAGACCCCAACAAGATTCTTAAGAAACTGAAGCAATCTTTCAGTTGCAATACAGACCATCAATTTCCTTCAGAAAAGTTTATTTTCTTTTATAGGCTTTGGGTTCACAAAACAGCAGCAAAAACTGTCTTTGACATAAATCTAGAGAAAACACCTTTTATTTTAATTAAATTGCTAAAGTTACAAAGGCAATGAATTTTAATGTTTGTTCATACCATGAATCCTTGCTCTGAATAGGCTTGAGCATTTTAATAGAAAATCATGTTTGTATTTACTAGGTAAAACATGTAGATCAGGGAAATCCTTCACCCAAATCACTTCTAAGACTTTCTACATTCAGTGTGAATGTTTGAGTGCACTTAAATGATGTGCAAGCCAAATATAATGTCACCTTCAAAATATTATTTTTGAAGGGTAAAAAGGGTATTTATTAATGTTGAACATTGATTCCTTGTGTAAAAGTGTTTGGAATATTTCTGGACTGCTACTGCCATATTTGCAAATATTTTAAACTGTGGACAACTAAAACATGGACATTAAGTAAACTTTTATGTAAAAATCTTTGTTGAAAGCAGTGCCAATTTTTCCCTTCTATTTTATTATGATTGCTATGCTGCTGTCCTTTCTGTACAGAGAGTGAGAGGCAAGTTAGTTATGTTTGCTGCTGCTATGATTATTTCCCATTGTCCACAACTTGAAAAAATTCCTCTGAGGAAAAAAAAGGGAGTTAAAACAAAGGAACGTATTTCTGCTTTATTGAAAACTAAACATGAGTGTGCTGGGCAAGGATTTACTTTTATATCATCACCATTATCATCATCATCAAAGTTTTATGTCAGACTTTTTTGCAGATGATGCGGTACAGCCTTTCCAGGAGAAAATATACAGCAAAAACATAAGAAACTGTTATTTATGACCTTGGAAATAAAACAGTCAAAAGAATACTTTAAATTTCTACATTTTTTGTGTTGCGTGATTGGGTAACTACTGTTCAGAATTTTACTGTTATATGTGCATAAAAACCTTTCATCCCTTTTTCATTCATAATTTCACTTAAGGCATCTAACAAGTGAATTTTTTAAAAAAATATTGACAAACATATTTTAAAACATACAACATAAAATAATATATTAAAGTTGGCATACAGCTTTGTTGAAAACCTCTGTTCTAATAAGAAATCTCGAAAGAAAAGCAGCTTGTTTTTTTTTTTTAAAAATCCATGTAAGTACACTTTACATAGATAAATTGCTTTAATTTTGCATACCAAAATTTAAAATAAGTATAATTGGGTGCATGTTGAAGATTAAAATGCACATGAAAGCAAACAGGATATAAACATCAATTATTTTTATTAATTTTCAAAATGATGAAATAATGTCAATAAAATGCCATTTTCTTAAGGACTTTTACTAAAACAAAATACCATTGGATAAGCTGAAGGCTGAGTTGGATTTCGCTTACCAGGGAAGATGAAGACATCCCAGGATATTTAAAAGGTTTTATTTTAAAACTATAGCAAATAAAAAGTATCATCAGGGACCTAATTACAATGATTGCATGATCAAAAACAAGAGACTGGAAAGTACATGCTGTTTTGATATTATCTTAAAAGTAACTTATCCCAGATCCAACAGCGATACTACAAAGAAGTCTACAGATAGAAGAAACACTTAAAACCTCTAGCATTGCACAGTGAGATAATCCATCACCAAATGCAATGCAACAGATTAAAGAATGCCTCATGAATTTTCAGGATTTGGATCAGTTGACAATTAACTGAAGAGGAAGAAATGTTTATCAAGTCCAAAGCTCTAACAAAATTTGGATGCAAGTACATGTTATCTCTCAAATAAGATAACATATTACTCCAGTTGGTTAAAGACAACACCCCAAAAGACTGAAACATGAGGAAACTAAACTATTTTTTGGAGTGAGATCAGGGATAAGGAAGCAGTGTTTGAAATAAACCAATATGCCTGAAAATATAGAATGCAAGTTATATGCTGGAAACTATCTTGAATAAAAATGCTTTCCATTATAAAGGTGCAGATGTGAGCTTCTAGAGGAAACCTGGCATCTGCCTTCTAACCTAGCACCTCTTCCCAAGTTACAAAGTGGAACTTTCCTACTATTTAATTGGTTACAAACCAGCTAGTATTCTGAAGATTCCAGGTAGAAGGAGTCAGCCAGTCAGCCAGCTATTCCCTATTTGACGCAAGTTTCCTGAAATCTTGGATCACCCTCCTGGAATCAGAAATGACCCATCCAGCACAATTAATTGGCTTTCCAATCTGTGCCTTTCAGTAGGACTTTGATAGTACATTTGTATACAGTGACTCAATTGTCCCTTTGGAATACAAACCCCTTCATGGCCTGCAAACTATACTCGGGAAGTTTCCCCTTAGAAAGTTACAGAATTTTGTAACTGGTAATTATTCCTCTCAGGATAGTAAGAAACAGCAATTAAGATCAAAGGAACAAAAACAAGGGAATTTTTTGGGAGTCATTTATTAAAAATAAATGTATGTTCATGAAAGGTGTGAGCCCAAGAGAAATACAGAGGTATAATTTCCTTTAATTATGTTTGACCTGTGGTCCCGGGGATGGGAAGTGTTTTCAGACTGCAAGCAATTTTATTCTTTTTCACCAGATGGGATTGTTTTGAATGCCAAGAAAAAAAAAAGCAGAGGAAAAATATGTCTAGAGAAGGATGGAAAGAGCTGTCTGCCTTACATGTAAATTCTCCATACAGGTAGTTCTCAAATTATGACTATAGTTGAAACCAAAATTTATGTTGCGAGAGACATTTGTTAAGTGAGTTTTGCCCCATTTTACAACCTTTCTCGTCACAGTTAAATGAATCACTGCAGTTGATAAGTTAGTCACATGGTTGTTAAGTGAATCTGGTGTCCCCACTGACTTTGCTTGCCAGGTCACAAAAAGCTGCTCATGTGACCTCGGGACACTGCAATCGGCATAAATATGAACCAGTTGTCAAGCACCTGAATTTTGATCACATTGATCATGGGGATGCTGCAAAGGTCATAACTGAAAAATGGTCATAAATCACATTTTTCAGTGCCTTTGAACGGCTTGTAACTCTGAACGGTCACTAAACAAACTATTTCAAGTCGAGGACTACCTGTCTTATGTTTCTCACTGGGAAAAAGGGTTCATAAAACCCACCTTCGGGTGACATTTTCTGGATTTTATTTCCAGCTGAAAAGTGAGGCCTCTACAAGATTAAACTGAATAAATATAAGTTGATTTCAAACTGTTTTACTTTTTGCAGTTACAATGCTTTTGTTAAACTGCTGAGGCAATTTTTCATGAATACGATTCCCAGATTATGGCCAGGAGCCTCGCTGTTTGCTTCGAGTGTGGGAATCGTAATCCTTCCGGAGCTCATTCCCCTGAGGACCGACTGCCGAACCTAGTCTGCCAATTTGAAAGACATTTGTTCCCAGGGAAGTCCCAAGCGATCAGGATGATATCCTTACATCAAGACGAAGTTCAGTTCGAAAGAAACATGAGAACTTGACTAAAACAGGTGAGAAACAAATTATTCTCTTTTCATTTTTTATTTATTTAGCTCTCCTATTCCCTTAAGGTAAAGGTTCACTCTATGTACATCTGACATGCCACCGGGAGATGCTCAGTCATCCAGATCATGGTTGTCCAAAAGATGCTTTTTTTCAAGAGGCAACTGGACTTTCTGGTTTTTTTCTTTGAAGATAGATCAACAGAGTTGGAAGGGACCTTGTAGGTCATCTAGTCCAAACCCCCCCCCTCCCGCTCAAGCAGGAGACCCTACACCATTTCTGACAAATGACAATCCAATCTCTTCTTCAAAGCCTTCAAACGACGTTTCGCTTCTTAGCCAAGAATCTTCAGCGCTTCTTCAGCCCCCTCAGTTTTCCGGCGTTCTTCCGAACCCACCCACGACAAAGAAACCCCGCATGGTTGGCTCGACTCTTGTGATTGGGTGGCCTGTAGAAAAGGGAGGAGAGACCCAATCACCTCTGCCACTGACCTGCCCACCCAGACTACTGAGCGGCGCGCGATCCATCCAATAGCGGCCAAAGCCCTCGAAACAAGGACCGCCTCCTTCCCTGATGACGTTACCAACACGCCTGACTTTGCCTTGCCTTCGACCGCTGGTGTATATGGACAACATTGGAGGACGCGGCTGAGAGGTGTGGAAGCGGGGGGTGGGGTGGGCGTCATGGCTTCCTCCATGGTCCGAGCCACCGTCCGGGCTGTGAGCAAGAGGAAGATTCAAGCCACCCGAGCAGCCCTCACGCTGGTTAGTATTTAGGGAGAGGTGGAGTTGCACCGGGCAGCCTCCCGTCTCCCGCTGCAGAGCGGGCTTGAGGCTGACGGGGGGTAGCGGGGGGGGGGGGGGGGAACTACCGGCTGGTAAACAAGCGTACTGCGCAGGCGTGCACGAAAGGGGGGGGCGTAGAGGGGCCCCCCAGTGATGGTCAGGCGGAGATTGCTGCAGCCACTTTGATGTTTTGAAGGCCCCTTTGATGTTCTGCCTTTTTTTGCTCTTTTTTTTTTAACATGTCTCATCCGCTTCCCACCCCAGGCAGACATTCACTAGGGAGATGAAAGACAAGTACAGTATCGCTTCTAGTGAACTGTTAACTGTCGTGCAGCTGGTGGCATATGAGCTTTCACGACTTTTCACGATTGTGTTACGGGAGGGTTGTATGGAGGAGAGAGAGAATAACACCAGAACCCTTATAGTGACTGTTTAGGGTTTTTTTCCTGCTGTAATCCAAGGACTTGTCAGTTTATGGTATCTGCGATGAGATTCCCCAAAATCAAAAGATTGAGCTGAAAAAAAAAAATACTTTATGCCCCTGTGTTTTCTGTGATTGCCCACCTCCTTTAAAAAAAAAATGAGAAAGGAATTTATATTGGGGCAAAAGCAAATGCCACCACTAGCACTGATGATGTTACCTAGTTAGGGTAATGAAATGTCTGCAAGAAAACAAGCTAGCTCAGAGACCACCAAGGACCCCCTCAAATGCCTTGTGTAATTCTGTTCTGGTGTTCAATATAAATTACCAAAAGGATTATTGTATTTTATTGCCACACTACTTTATTGTGTGTAATGATGGGCATCAACTACACTGCCGTGCATTAGGTGGTACAAGCAATCCTCAATTTACAGCCATTCATTCAGTGACTGTTCGAAATTACAAGGGCACTGAAAAAAGTGACTTGTGACTGATTGTCACACTTAACAACTGTTGCAACATCTCCATGGTCACATGATCAAAATTTGGGCAGTTGGCAACTGGCATGTATTTATGACAGTTGCACTTTCCCAGGGTCATGCAATCACCATTTGTAAACTTCCTAGGTGGCTTCTAAAGCAAAGGCAATGGAGGAAGCCAGATTCACTTAACAACTGCAATGATTAATTTAACCATGGCAAAAAGATAATAAAATTGGGTGTAACTCATTTAATTGTCTTGCATAGCAATGAAAAATATAGGTTCAATTGTAGTCATAAATTGAGGACTACTTGTATATAAGAACAAACTATTTACCTAAAAATGAACGTATACATAAGCATTGGGTGCCAAACACGTTAAAAATTTTCAGTCACCTCTCTGATGTTCAGTTTTATGGGAAGGAAATCAATGGAGAAATTATTAAATACTCTTGAGTGTATTGAGATCTGAAATAGTATGATTTATATTTTCATAAGTAAACCTAACATGAGAACATTGGGGTCATGCCCATGTAGTTTTCTTGAACAGTGTTGCCAAAGTGGTTTGCCCCTGCTTTCTTCTGGAGCAGTTTTTCAATTTCTCAACCTATCCCAAGTCCTCTAAATTGCTGGAGATCTATCTCCCTGGTACTAACCAGGCCAAGTTTGCATAGCATCTGACATTAATAAACCTCATCTGGAAATCATTAAATGGTATTTAAATATGATAACCATACATAAGAAAATCTTAGGCATTATTTTCTTAAAATACTATAAATATTGGCCATTCAGTAGCACTTTCTTTTAAAAGAAAGATGTATAATTTTGTTTTTTCATATTTTTAATGGGTTTTTTTTATTATTTTGATAAATAACTCAAGATGGTGAATGTAAATAATACTCCTTCCTCCTTCTATTTCCCCCACAACAACCTTGTGAAGTGAATTGGACTACGAGAATGTGACTGGCCCAAAGTCATCCATTCTGGTTTCATGCATAAAATTATAATGCACAAAACATAAAATTAGCATGCCAAAATATCTATCAATCAAAATATCTATCAAAATATCCTTATAGCTATTTCTGAGTTATAAACCTTGTAAGAGATTTTTTTTTTCCATGTGTCAAATCAATGTATGTTTCTAAAATGGGATTCTTCCCATAAACCTGTTTCCCCGCCTCCTCCACATTACATTGGCAACAAGAAACTCTACACATGTAGCTATACATGTAATGGGAAATTACAATCATGCCACATTTCTCAGTATACAGTCTGTACCTAAGTGCACATCTTGGTGTGCAGCAAATATGGATGCAAGAAATACTTAATAGACCATGTATAAAATGACTAGAGATTCATGAACTGGTAAGTCCGTGGGAGGGACAGTGTCATTCAAAAGAGGTGTTACTGGAATGTTGGGAAGCCTAATTATTATTATTCACACAGCTTGGAATAATAAGTGTATCTAAAAAAACCCATGCCAAAGATGATAAGCTGAAAAACAGGGCTGAATTCATATTATGCCAAAAGATTATTTTAAACTAGTATGCTGCATAAAAATGAACAGATAACAGCCAAGAAATATTAGCATCATTTTTAGTTCAACAAAACAATTAGCATTAAATGAAATACTCTTAATTCCCTTCTCTCCTGGCTATTCATGTGTTAATATTCTCTCATTGCTTATAGTTTTCTATGAATAAAAGGCACAAAATAGAATATATAATCCAATATTTGTATATTGTCCACAACATTTTTGTTTTAATTTAGACATTTTAGAGTAAAGAGGTTATTTTATTACATCTGAAGAAAGTTAGAATATATATCATTCTTTACATATATTTTCTTTTTATTCCTTTTTTCTTGTCACTTCCCACCCTTTTAATCTTCAATTTTTAATCTTTTTTCTTTTTGTTAATTTTATTTTATCTTTTTTGTAAATTAATAAATTTGCTTTTAAAAAGATGCAATTGATGAGTTGTGTAATGCAAAATCTCTTCATATCTTTCAGACCCCATCTGCAGTGAATAAGATAAAACAACTGCTAAAAGACAAACCTGACCATGTAAGTGGTGCTAGATGGTATTCCAGGCCTTACTTGATGTTCAAGACTGCATTACAATCTGCTAATAGATATTACTCTAGCCAGTCACCAGTATATTTGACAGGGATGTGTTTGAAACAGAAAAATGTTTTGTTTCAGAAAAAAACAATGCAATCTGGAAGCTCTGCCAGATCACTTTGAACTTGCAACAGTTCTGCAAAACCAAACCTCAGAACACTCTTGATTATGCTGGGTTTCAAACAAAGTGTCTGGCAAGCAGCTATGGAAAATAACACCCTCCCACCTCTCCTCAGCACTTTTAACCAGGCACGGTCTATAATCCACTTTACCAGTCCCTCCCCTCTCAGTCACTGCTGCTGGCTGATCCCTCTAGTCGGCACATCCCAACTTTCCCATATCTTTCCTTTCTTCTCCTAGTTGCTCACCTCTCCCACATATTTATTCCTGCCAACCTGCCCATTCCATCTTTCGAGCAGCTTTGGTCCCTCTCACTTCCCAAACCCTGTTTGCATGGATCAAACATCCCAATTTCATTCTGTGTACAAATTAAAATATCCCTGTTTCATTAAATCAGTGATCCTAATTGCCTAAAAGGTGGCCAAAATTAGTTTTATCTAGATGAACAGATTCTAGTCATGTCCCATTTGGGCAATTTTGGTTTCCATGAGACTTACAGTACCCGTTTTGCATAAAACTACTCAAAAATAAATGACACTTAAGATTGAAAAGACTCAGAATCTGTATGGATGGATGATTTGCACTAAAACTTTGTATAGTCAAATTAGGATAAAAGCATTGAAACTAATTCTGGAGAATTGTTGGCTTCTTACAAAAATGTTTCTAATACATTAATACTTATATTTCAGGTAGGAGTTAAAGTAGGTGTGCGCACAAGAGGTTGTAATGGCCTTTCCTATACACTAGAATATACAAAATCAAAAGGAAATTCCGATGAAGAGGTAGTACAAGATGGTAAGTGTACTTGGGATAGTAAGACTGCAAAAGTCATTGCCAATTCTGACTTCCAACTCAATCTATTTGCAGTGTGTAAAATAGAACTGACAGAATTGAATTTGTGTAGCACTTCAGATTCCAAGGCCAAAAACTGCTTCAGAGCACGTAGGGATGGGCCTTCGTTCCTAGGTGTGCCTTCTGCAGCTATCCAGGGAAAAGCGCATTTAGTTTCAGATGTTACTGCCAACAGGTGCTAGGTTTGTGACCTCATCTCTCACCAAAGCACATCCCACATGCTGAATAGCCCTATAAATAAGAATATTTTTTATTTATATCCCACCTTTCTGTAGAATATTGACAGAGGTTGATTCTCTTTAAGTGAACATGCTGCTTTCCCCATGAAATCAATGACTCACTGAAGGTCAATTAATTAATTAGATTAAGTCTGACTACTTTTGAATGTTTGGCCTCATACACATTTGGAAAAATGCCAAAAAATTATCAGCGTGGCTTGCAGACTACACAGAATAAATGCAAAACAAGTAGTATTTAAAGAATATCTGTAACTTATTAAATATTAGTTGGCCTGTAGTGAAATATATGAACTATATTGTAGCAATATTTTGTATAGACAAAAAAGCCTAGTGTATGCTAAATCTTTCAAATCTCATTTTTTTTCTTTTTAAAAAGGTGTCAGAGTGTTTATTGAAAAGAAAGCCCAACTTACACTTTTAGGAACTGAAATGGACTACATAGAAAACAAACTGTCCAGTGAATTTGTTTTCAACAACCCAAACATCAAAGGAACGTGCGGTTGTGGAGAAAGCTTCAATATTTAAATTACCAGGACTAATTCCATGAGTTTTAGCAATGCAGAACTGCTTTCTAAAAGCAATCAGTTGTCATGTGTTTTTCACATATATGGGATTTGTAAAATAGTGGGCTTGACACAAAATAAAACTGCTGTGTTTTGAAAATATAATCTCTGTGTTCAGTTCCCTCCCCCCCTTACTAAAGCTTAAAGTGGGATATAACGAAAAGTGGTTTGTTTGCAAAAATAAAATAAAATACAGTGTTGCTTAAGAATTCATCATTTGGTTTATAGCAAATCCTCCTTTTTAGGAGTCTATTCTTAGCAGTTGTGTTAATTCTTTACAAAATTAAAAAAGTTTCTGAAAAAAGTTCCATAGACTCAGATTTTCACTTACTATATTTTGAAATAGAAACAATTATACTTCTATATGTATTATAGGATCTAAATGTTGTCCATTATACTTTATAACAAAAGGCAATCACATACCAAAAATGTTCAGTGTTTCCTATTTATATATTGTATAAATCTCTGAAAAATTAATTTGAATTCTGATAGGTTGTGAGATTATATAACTTGAAGTGATTAATCCCCTTTAAGCAAGTAAATGCTTTTTATACCAGAAAAGCCAAGAGTGTTTTCAGCAATCTTGTACTGTGAATGTAGCAAACAGTAGTAATAGAGACTTCTGTTTGGAAAAAAACATTATCATGAAAGCAACTGAAAGTGAATTCTACATTATATTTTCTAATTGATAGAGAAAACATTTTCTCTAGTGTACTAAATAATTTTACTACCATGCAGCAAAATTAAAATTGAGCACCACAGTGTTGTTAACTTACTGGTAATTTATGATATGACTTTAATTCTGTTAAAAACTGAGTAAGAACTCAACATTTTGCTTGAGAAAAGGTTTGAATTATGCTGACAACTTATTTTACAAATATATTGTGTATTCATGTAATCATCTTGGATGAAATTAAGGCTCAACTGCAGGATTTTATGATTTAAAATGTCACACTTTTACAAAGTCTAGCGTTTTTACTTATTGTTTTTTTTCCAATGAAGTAAATGTTTCTAAACCACTGTCTAATGGTAAGATAGCAATTATCTTATGCAGTCAGACTCACATTAGCCTTAGGATGGGAGAAGGAATATGTTATATGAATGATATGTCACATGTTACAGTGTAAGATTACTACTCCAGTAATTTATCAGTTGCTACAGCTCTGCTTTTCAGATACTTGCACTTAAGTGAAACACTGGGGAACAAATCCATTTGAAAAGAGTTTTAAGAGCTGGAACAAACTGCTTTGGTAAGCTGTATAATCCTTTGCATGGCAAATTTGTTCAAATACAAGAAGAAAAATCGGCCTACACTGGACAGAGGTTAGCATGCGGAATTTTCAGCTCCTGCAAACATAGGTTGCCTGGGCTTTTCTTGGTGAAATCTCTACAAATATAGTCATATACATAATAAGTGTTTCACTTTGCAAAAATGGGTTACAGTATTCCTTGCTAAAAACAGCTATGCTATGTGATTTATGGTTATGAAAAGGACTTGAATGTAACATCATGTAAGAAACTTATATATATTTTTTTATTAGAAACATCTTGTTCTCTGATTCATAAGCTATGTGAATGAAACTCCCAGTCATGAAAATACACCGCACTATTATTCTTGAATACCTAACGCACAATTATGAAGTAAATTTATATTAGTAATAATTTTATGAATATGTCTTTATTGATCATCTGTTATGTGTATAATGTAATTAAGAAATGTAATAAATTATCTTTTGGTGAATATGGAATACATATTTGTAGCAGTTTGTAAACAAACCATAAATGAGTATTCTATTTTACCTTCCTAACTGCAAAATTATTACAATCAAAAGACAAGCTTTCCAGAGATCAAGCTTGACTTCCGATTATCCTCTCCATGCAGTTTCTTTCTTGTGAGAAGTTTTTCAACTTTCTAGTCTAGCTTACTGTTTGGGGGTTGACCTAGTGCTCCCCCACCCCCCAAAGTCCTACTCAAACATTGCTAAATTGTTTGGATTATTGTAATTCAGCTAAATATTGCCACATGTATTAACTGTCACAATCTAGATTAGGTGATTTCTAACAAAAACATTGTACTCCTTAAAAACTTATTTTAATCTTTTAAAATATAGATTTTAAAATGTCTAACAGTTTGAGCCCCAAACTGACAAAAACGTCTTCATATTTTAAATCTGATACGGGTTTACTAGGGCAGTACTATATTAAATTTACAATGCTGCTCATCTCACTATTGAGAGCTACACAATAAAAGGTAAATATACCTTTGGCCTTTGGATATATCTCAGCAAAGCAATTGGGCCTTTAAAATCAAATCACTGTGGAAGGAAACAAAAATTACTACCGTTAAAAGGACATGAGAGAAATAAAGCACAAATACAACTTGAAATGAGAGAATTGGGTGGTTGAGGAAAATCTATGGAGTATCATCCCACCCACTTTGCACACTAGTTTTGCAAGATCTAGAAACCTCCCAAGAGGTATATCTAAAAAAAAAATTAGTTTCACAAGGGATTAAGCAAGCTGTTCCCTCAGCAAAAATTGTATGTCGACAACTTTACTAAAGCAAAGCAATCTTTTCCACCTCCATGCCCCTTTGGCAGGCTGATGATTTCAGCATAACATCTAAGATAAACTAAGTCATCAGCAAAACGGTAACCAACTCCTGCTCGTTAATGACTGGAAAGTTAGTTCCAGGTATGTGGGAGGGGAAATCCACACATGGTTTTTGCAGTGAGAGGAGTTGGGGAAAGTTACACAGGCATGTTGATAGTACCTTTGCACAAAACTCCAGGAAACATGGAATATGATTTCCCCACACCCAGCATCCACTTGGAGTAAAATCAGGCATGGAGCTTAGCAAACTGGAGACCAGTCACATTCTAACTTTTCTTATGTGAAGCAAAATTCTGTTGTGCAGGTGCAGCGATGATTTTTACACTGGTGTTTTTTCATCCTTGGCAACTTTTAAGATGTATGGACTTCTGGGGAATTCTGGGCATTGAAGTCCCACACATCTTAAAGTTGTGGAACACTGATTTTCAAGATGAACCCATAAAATAGGGTTGAGTGTGTTATATAAATTGAACAACTTTAGCACAAGAAACATTTTGCTATCCTGCCTTTATCACTTCGATGTGGCTTCTTAGGGCAACACTTTTATTTTTCTTAACGAGGTTTGGGCCACTGGAGACCCTCCTGACCGAGAACTGCAGTTCTCGGCATTTCTTACTATGTTGGCGGAGGCACGTGGAGGACCAGAGCTTCAGGTATCACTGAGGCGAGGTCCTCCCCGGAATTGCAAACATGCTTTCAAAGAAACGCGAAGAGGGTGAAAACAAAAAGTCAAGGGGCCTCCCCGTCAGATCAGCGTGGCCCGGCTGCTGCCTGATTTTCACTAAGATTTCATAGAGCAGGGGCCTCCAACCTTGGCAACTTTAAGCCTGGAGGACTTCAACTCCCAGAATCCCCCAGCCAGCTGGCTGGGGGATTCTGGGAGTTGGAAGTCCTCCAGGCTTAAAGTTGCCAAGGTTGGAGAGCCCTGTCATAGAGGGAAATCGGGCTAAAGCCGGCTGGCGAACCCAGCTGCCCCGTTATCCCTAAACTCATCGACTTGCTCTCCAACATAGAGGCAGGGGTAGAAATTGTGAGACGATAATGAGTCGTCCTGTTGAAACTACTGATTGGTTCAGCGGGCGAGAAGAGAGCCAGTACCGCAGCTGGGCTGGGCGCGGCGCATGCGTGATCCCCCTCCGCCCGGTAAGTTTTGCTTAGTTTATACTTTATACTGTGATCTTTAAATCCCCAAAAGCTGATTTCTCTAGTCCTACCGATCTCTGAATCTCTGTGGAGATTCTCAGTCATCCAGATTATGGTTGTCCCAAAAGGTGCTTTTTTTTTGTTTTTTTCTCCCCAAAGAGGCAACTGGGTTTGGGTTTTTTTTTTTTTTTGGAAGACGTTTCGCTTCTCATCCAAGAAGCTTCTTTAGAGCTCTTCTTCAGCCCTCTCAAGTTTTCCGAACCCAGCCTGGATCCAGTCAGAGCTGGAGAAGCTTCTTGGATGAGAAGCGAAACGTCTTCAAAGAAAAACCAGAAAGTCCAGTTGCCTCTTGGGAGGGGGGGGGAGGGCATCTTTGGGGACGATTCTGATATTGGCTCTTCGTAGCCAAAAAAGGTGGCTTAGTGGGTTTCCAAGGCATCTTTTTTTCGTCTTATGATGGGGATGTTTAAAACACCGAGCGGTAGTAAAAATTCCTCCGGCCCCCGAAGGGACGCTCGCTTTTCTTTCCCAGGAAAGAGCGACACCCTCAGAGGGAGCTTTTTCGCAAGTCAAGAAACTCCTTTCCGTACGGGAGTTTGGCTTTTTTGTTGCTATGGGCGATGATCTTGTACGTAGTCCGCTCTCGTTTCCTTTCCCCTTCCATTATAGAAAACGGAAGGTTTTTATAAAGTCCGAAGAGGCTTAATGGACGTTTCCAAGGCTGGATAAGTTTCAATTAGCTTTCAAAGTTCTAGCAGGACTACCAGATTCTGTAACAGTTTGTTCCCTCTGGTAAACTCGCAAGATTCGTTTTTCTGGCCATGTACATCTGAACTAGTCTGTGTTGTTTCTCTGTGTCATATATGTGGAAATGTGCATAATTTTGTATTTTGTAATGATGTATTTATTCCTTCTGTCATGGTTATGTTACGTAGTGTATACTGGAGTTGGTGACCCTTTGAGGGCTCTATGAAACAAAATTTCATTTTAATGTATGCTGATTAGTGTTCATTCAAATTGACCATAAAGTTATTCTATTCTATTCTATTCTATTCTATTCTATTCTATTCTATTCTATTC